ACATTTACTCCCTGTCTCGTCTTTCAGGTTTTTCAACATTTTTAACCATTTCAGTTCCCTTATAGAAAAATTGGGCTTTTTCCACTGGCAACTTTTTTTTTTAACAGTACCAAGATTGTGGTGGCTCGACTTTTTTTTCTTGTAATTTTGGCAATTTAAGGTGCAACTGTGGGATACAGCCGGGCAGGAGCGTTATCGGCAATCAATCGTTTCACATTACTATCGAAATGTGAATGCAGTGGTATTTGTCTATGATGTAAGTAATCCTTCAACGTTCAAATCACTAACCGACTGGATCAGCGAATGCCGTAAACATTCCGTATCATCTACGAATGGTACCCCACATATACTGATTGGTAATAAATGTGATTTAACACCGGAAAACAGAGTGAAAACAGATGTTGCCCAGGTTTGTACTTTCTGATTCTTACAATCCACCTCCATGGTATAACTAATCCTAATTCTCCTATTCGTTCATTCGTTTCGATGGTAAATTGGTACTGACATATGCCAGGGAGTCAAACCCGCCATCAGCGTGCTTATATAGTAATCTTTGAAAATGTAAAGCCATCGAAAGCTTTTCCAACCGGTGGTGACTGTTGACTGTTTCTCAAGTACCTCCGTCTGTTATGGAGAGCGAATACGGAGGAATAAATTTATCGGTAAAATTATGATTTATTTTATTTACCATCGAAAAAATTAGTTGTCAGGGCGCCCCAGTACTTTTACTTTTCGAATGTTAAAATTATTGCCGATTTTGCAAATTTCTACTATGATACCACATGGTTGCGATGAACCAGAATGCTGTGGTTAATCGTAGCATCGCCAACATCTGAAATTGTCGTGGCGAAGAACCGTGCGCACCTCTTCAACAAAATTTTGTTGAAAGCAATGACGTACAAATGTGAAATGTGGTTACTGACGGAAATTTTGTAGAGTGGATGCTCGTTATGATGGAGAAGACGATGGAGCGAAGATTGCTTGGCGTGTCTTTCCCCGATCGTTTAAACAATCGGCTCTTCTGCTGATGAGCAGCATTACTGTCACAGAGAGATATTTAGTAAATAAAAGTGTTGATGATGACAGAGATAAAATATTAAAAATATATGTATTAATCTAGCGGGCAGAATACGTCGCTCGTCCTTCTGCACTTGTATTATGGCGAATTGCAGCTTGCTTATATTTAATAGCTTCCAACGGACCAGGAAAATGCAGTGGATTAATTTTCAGTTTTTTCTCTGAAAATTTGAATTTTTATTTTCTTCTGTGTTTAATTAGGAGAAATAAATATTTCAGATGTTTGCTGATCAGAACGATATGGCTTTGTTCGAAACATCAGCTTTAGCGGACACAGAATCGGATCACGTCGAATCGATTTTCATGACCCTGGTCCATAAGCTGCAACAGAGTAAACCAATGCATGTACAGAGTGATGAAGAAAGGGCACAAAAGGAGCAGAGGCTACTGTTAAAAGCAGCTGAAGCTAGCAAAGAAGCCGACGAGAACGGATGGTGCTGTTGATTGTAATGCAGATTTTTCAGTTTTCTCACCCGTGGGGAGTGTTTTGGCTTCGCAGTTTTTAAAAAAAATTTTGTCCCCATTACCGCAACTGTAGGAAGTAAGTTTTAATAGGTTTTAAGTCGAAAACTTTTAAAAATAGTGCGAAGTTTTTTGAGGACGTGGTGAAATTTTGTTGAAAATGCATTTTTTTGAAACTGAATACCGGTAACGTAACACCATACCTATGACAGGAACTAGCGCCTTTTTGGAAAAATTTTGAAATTTTCACTTTTTTCATTTTTACTGGAAATTTTTGTGTATTAATATTTTTCAAAGAGGCCAAAAATTGCAAAAATTTTAAAAAAGTGGTGGACATTCTAAGTTTAAACGAAGAAACAGTTCCCCGAGTTGAACGGGGCCTCAGATTAATTTTTATAGCTTTAATTGTATTTGATTAGGAAATGAGCGAATTGAGCTGCAGTGAACAAGTTTTGCAGGTGAGCATGAAAAGGTTTGCAACTTTCTGGATCATGTGCTGGGAAGTGAGGGGGGATTGGTAAGTAGACCATCTTTTTTGTTAGCTTTACAAATTAAGTTTTTCCTAAAATTTAGCTTTTTGGACTTCCTGCTTCTTTGAGAGTCGCTCACGTCTCTTGAAAGTTTGTAAAATTTTATATATTTGTAATTATACTGTATTTCTGGATGAAATCGCTCTGGCGTTTAAAATCCTCAGCGTTACTGATTTTTCACTGATGTTTGTCATTTAGTATTTCTTCGTAAATAGCTACTGTTTCACAGGAATTTACTAACTGTATGGTATGTTTCGCTGTTTGACATATTGCATGATTTATTCTGAGCTTTCACTTGGTTTTGTTACTTTATTTGATCGCGCACTAATATGGTGATTTGTAAAATTTTAAATGAATTAAGGAGATCGGTTTTATGGGGTCTTAATCGCAAGTATTTTATTTTTTTCCCATGTATTTCACAAGTGCCTTTATATCGAATATGCGATTTCAGTTTTGCCTGCACTGGAAATTTTTTTGAACTGCTTTGCTGTTTTTTAAGTTTTATTTAAGTACCACTGAGGGTGTAAATGCGGAATAAAATTTAACACACATGGCTGCTATTTTCTTTAGTGGCTACATTTCTTCGCACAACTGAATTACAGCTCATGGTACCCACTTCGAAGTTTTGATAGGTTATAAGCAGAATGATAAATGAGATGCTGCACGAGCTCAACGCATGGAGTAAGAAAATGGACCTGAAAACTGACATGTCAAAAATGAGGGCCATACAAGCTACCGCTGTTCGCTCGGCAAGATTGCAGATAGATGGTGCTGACATGGAAGAAGTTGGCAGTCATGTCTATCACGGTCAGAAGGCGTGGATTACAATCTCCATCTAGCAGGTTCACACAAGTTGCCGGTTGACGCAATCGCACAGCGTTAGCGATGTTTTCAAAATGTCAGATCGGAGCAACTGTTCCGCTTCAGTACCACTCTGTAAAAGTGACCTGCGGATGCGATTTTTATTCGTTTTTTGCGGCAATGCAATGCGAAAAACGCATATTGACGAGAGGTTGCCTGTGTGTGTGTGTTTGTTTGTGTGTGCGCTGGGCATCTGTACCGATTTTTCATCTCGAGATCGGCAAAAGCTACGGGTCTGAAACTTTGGGGACATAATCTACATGCACGTACGGGCCCCCATCCACAAAATTGGCCCCAAAACCTGCGTGGTACCCGCGTACGGGCCCGCCAAAGTTTTTTTGGGGTCGGTTCATAACTCGAGGACCCCCAATCCCTAAAATGGGCGCCAAAACCCGCGTAGTACCCGCGTACGGACCCCCCAAAGTTTTTTCGGGGTCAGCTCATAACTCGAGGATCTACATCCCCAAAATTGGCGCCAAAACCCGTGTGGTACCCGCGTACGGACCCCCCAAAGTTTTTTTGGGATCAGTTCATAACTCGAGGATCTAAGAAGCTAGAAGGCTGAAATCTTGGAGTAATGTTCCCCGCCCAAGCGGCTATTAGTGGGCTCAAACCCGGCCTGCTAGAAGGCTGAAATCTTGGGGTAATATTCCCCGCCCAAGCGGGTATTAGTGGGCTCAAACCCAGACCCTGGATAAGCATGGTACCCCCGTACGAGCCCGCCAAAATTTTCTCCGGTAAGTTCCTAACTCGGGGATCTGAGAAGCTGGAA